TCATCTGCTTTTGCTGCTGCTGCAGCAGGGGATTCCCAGAGCGGGCTGGCTTCAACAGCAGCAGCAGCAGGACTCCGCAGCAGATTGATGCAGCGGGAAGTTGCTGCTGCTGCTGACGCCCCAAAGTCAGGTGTACATACACCTGAATATCGTGGCTGGTATAGGTGAGACAGAGGCTGCTGCTGCTGCTGCTGCTGCTGCTGCTGCTGCTGCTCTATCTGTTCCTGCTGCAGCAGCTGCTGCTGCTGTTCCTGCTGCTGCTGCTGCTGCTGAGCAGCAGCAGCAGAAGTGCTGCAGGAGGCAGGAACAGAGCAGCAGATACTAGGAGAGGACAAGGCAGCAACGGGAGACAAAGGACTTGCTCTTTCTGCTGCTGCTGCTGCTGCTTCTGCTGCTGCTGCTGCTGCTTCTGCTGCTGCTGCTGCTGTTGCGGCTGCTGGTTGCGCTTCTGCTTGTGCTGCTGTTGCTGCTGCGTCTTGCGTTTCCTCTGCTGCTGCTGCTGCTTGTGATGGGGGGGCGGTGCAGCTGCTCGTGCATCTGCTGCTGCAGTTGCTGCTGCTGCTGCTGCTGCTGCTGCTGCTGCTGCTGCAGTTGCTGCTGCAGCTGAGGGGCGAGAGAGTGTTGAGGCTTTCAGACGGAGACGATCCCAGGAACTCCCCCCTTTCTAGTGCAGCAGCACGGGGGCCCCCCATTGCTGCTGTGTGTGGTGGTGTCTCTGCTGCAGCAAGAGCTGCTGCTGCTGCTGCTGCTGCTGCTGCTGCTGCTGGAACTGCTGCTGCTGCTGCTACTGTGGGTACCGCAGCAGCAGCTGCTGCTGCTGCTGCTGCAGGAGCAAGCGGGTCGCTACCGCGGCCACTGCCGCACAAGTTGCTGACACCGCTGCTACTGCTGCTGCTGCTGCTGTTGCTGCTGTTGCTGCTGCTGCTGCTGCTGCTGCTGCGGGGGGGGCCCGCATCTGCTATGCTTCTATAGAAGGCCCGAGCAGCAGAGAGAGAAGCAGTTCTGCGTTGGTGGTAGTGGGAGTAAACTTTTCTGCTGCTGCAGCAGGAACTGCTGCTGCTTGCTGCTGCTGCTGCTGCTGCTGCTGCTGCTGCTGTTCTTGCTGGGGGTGTGCAGCAAGAGGGGGCCCCTAGACGCTGCTGAGGGGGGCCCCCCAATGACGATAGAAAGCTGCCTGGGGGCCCCCCTATTATATGAACCCTGGATGAACGTGGAGTCCCCCTAGATGCTGCTGCTGCTGCTGCTGCTTCTGCTGCTGCTGCTGCTGCTGCTGCTTCTGCTGCTGCTGCTGCTGCTGCTGCTGCATCTGAAGAGATGCAGGGGGCAGTGGGCCCCGAGGGGGGCCCCCGGCTCGGCGGCACCATCAGGGGGCCCCCCACCTACTGTTGCTGCTGAGGACCCTTATGCTCCTCTATATTAAAAAAAACATTTAAGCCAATGCTGATA